CCCCCCCCATCTTTCATGTGGAATATATACACACACACACACACACACACACACACACACACACACACACACACACACACACTATTAACGTATTTTAAGAGACAAAATGAATGCTTTATGTACACAGCATTTGCCTCAAGGCCTCATGGCTCTTCAGTATGAATAGTACTGTCACGGCAGCAACACCATCTATAACTCACAGTGTATGAATGAATATGGCAGGCTATTTATCCTCGTGGCCCTCTCATTGTGCGGGACAGAGAGACAGTGAATGTTTTTGTTGATGCTCTTGACTAAACAGATTTGTATTAGACATATTGGATGGTCAAGAAAATAAAGACATACAATAGCAGACATGGACCCGCACGGGCTAAGAGAGCGAGCATTCATTCACTGTCGGGGGTGTGCGGCATTATTTATCTCCCTCTCTTTCAGGAGCGTATGCGGAGCGGCTGTGGAGCAGCTGCGGAGGAATGATGTACGCCACGGCAGCCTCTGCTCCCCTTCAACATTTATCAGAGAGTGAGGCTGGGGCGACCCACATCACTTACCTTTATAGGCCCACCTGACAGCATGGTACACCTCATAGTCATCACATACACAGACCTCTCAACGGTGTGTGTGTGTGTGTGTGTGTGTGTGTGTGTGTGTGTGTGTGTGTGTGTGTGTGTGTGTGTGTGTGTGTGTGTGTGTGTGTACGTGGGCATACTAAGTGTAACCTGTCACACAGAAGTACTATATCATCTGTGCATGATATCTGAAAGCAGCTTTAACACATCTGAAGCTTTGAAATGTGTTAAAATGTCACCATGTTCCCAAAGAAACACCCCTGCTGTTAAGGTTTTTAAATATGCATGTTACGCGCTTCATATCAGATCCAGGTAACAATGAAAACATTCTCACCTGCATTGTTCTGCTCTGGTGTGAGCTCGTATAAAACAACACCTATGTTCGTAAAGCACAGCAGGGGACCAAAGAAGTTTCAACAAAGTCAGCGGGGGATTCTCCTGAGTGATTGTTTGCTCCTGCTTTGCATTCACAGAGCGAGACACACCCTCCAACATTACTGTACCTCCACTATTAAGAGGCTGGGACTGCTCCGCGCACACACCTGCAGGCTGTCGCTCAGAACTACACCCCTGGAGCTGTTCAGGCGGTTTGACTGCATGGCCCCATTGTCTAACAAAATCAAAACAGCCTACAGGTACGTTCCTACAAACATATCCCCCCCTCCTCTCTCCCTGAAGATCCACCGTGCCGTACAATCACCTCCCCCAACCTCACATTAGCATACACGTGAAAGTGTGGAGGAGTTTAAACAGAACTGTGATTAGTCTAAACATAAGATTTACAGAAAGCAGTAGAGAACACAGGCTGAGGGCTCTCTGTCATAGCGGGATAATGTAGTGTCAGTGGGTGTGAGTGATTGACTTTGTAATCAAACAGATTGTTCTGCAGCAGAAACGATTGAATTTCAAATCAAAGTCAACGGCACCATCAAATGTTTTTCATCTCATTAGCAATAAAAATAAGAACGAACGCGGAAAGACGGAGCAACACAACACAACACACGCACAACACTTCTGAAAATGCATGGGGATCAACAGGTGACTGATTGAGGGCTGTCTTACCTTTTTGTGATGACACGGCGGTATCTGTAGATGAAAGAGAGGAGACACACAGAGGAATGTGTTAGTAGCTGACAGGACAATTCAAGAGATGACAGTCACGGCGGTGATTTGCTGCGAGAGGGGGCGAGCCACCGAAGAGGATAAACAGATAAGGTGGACGGGGGGGGGGTTCATCTCAGATCTGCAAAAGGAATATCCACTTTACACTCATGCATGCTTGAGTAATACACACAGCAGCTTTTTCCCCCTCCACAAAGACAGACCAGGTGGAGAAAAAAAAAGCATCTGAGCAAACACATTGCAGAGAGCCCTCAAGTAGAAAGATGAGAGTCTCCAGACCCCTGGAAACCCTTGAACTCGTACACAATTTATCCTGAGTGAGCTTTCTAATAAGTAAAGAAAATGCCTTTGAGGTGCAGCGAAACACAGCAAATCAAATCCTTTCAGTAAGCATTTTAGGTTCTTACTCAGAGCCCACTAGAGACACTCCTGGCACCACAAGGCGTGGATCAAAACATGGAGTGCCTGGAGGGAAGGATGTACTGCAACACTTTTTTTTAATGCAGAACTAAACATTCACCAAAAGAAACATGTTTTGGAGGCGTGTTTGTGGAGAAAAATGCAGTACATTTAGCTTATTCATTTCATCAAATATTTACCAGGAAAGTGTTTGTAAGCTCCCAAGGTTGTTTTTTTATTTAAAAGACTTGTCAAACTTGCAGCAATGCAATAATAAAGAAAAGTAGTAGAACACAAAATGTAGTTTCATTAGTTGAAATTCTCGACAACATTTCTCTACTGGCCATCTGCCCAAATGGCTACAGACATGGGAGGGGAATAATTGAATCCGGATGGATTTGTGGTGTGCTGGGCTGAGGAAATGATAATCCAAAGCTCTGCCTAATTGCCAGAGTAAAGATGGCGCCCATTGTGGGGGTGGCTCTGGTGTTTATCAAGGCAGTGTGGCGTGGAATTGGACTTAGCATTAGGGCTTTACACACATTGTTTTGTGAGGTGTTACAGTGGATTTGAGCAAATATTGGCCGTCTGGTTATTACATGGTCTGATTGTCTGCTATGCGACTGTCCATAAGCTTTGCATGTCTAGCCTAATCTGAGAGGAGGCTTCAAATAATTAGTTAGTGAAGCACTCTCACAGCCCAGCGCAGCCAACTTTATCTTTTAAAGCAAATCATTGGTCCATTCGCTCCTCACCCAAAAGGCTTACACTTTCACCACTGTCCAAACCTTCAGAGTAAGACCATAACATATTACCCATCACAATCACAAGTCCATATCCTACTCTTCTTGTTGTTTGTTACGTTAAAGAAACGCTACCGTATGTCAAACACACATTATTTTGGGCAAGTGCGAGAAGACTGTCAACATTTAAAAAGTGAACAAGATTAAGCAGATGATCAGTTTTACAAATATTATGAAACTGTAGTTTTCAATCAGTCATTTATTCTAAACAAATCACATAAATGGAGCAGTGAAACTACTAGAAGGAAAACTAAACATGCGAGTGCTTTGAGCTTAAGCATTTAACATTTGTACATTAACTCATTTTTTAAAAAGTACTTAGTAGTAGAAGATGTCTTCAACTGAAATGCTCCTCTCGAGCTCTGTTCCTAAATATCTATAGACCACCCAAATACTGTGCAAGCTTTTTTGATGATTTTACCGAGTTGCTGTCTATAGTGTGTATTGACTTTGACCGTCTAGTTATTGTTGGTGATTTAAAATCCATGTTGACAACCCCCAGAACAGAGGGGCTAAAGAACTGTTTTGTGTTCTTGATAGCTATGGAATGACTCAGCATGTGACGGAGCCCACGCACAATAAGGGGCACACTCTGGACTTCATTATCTAAAAGGGTCTGAATATCTCTAAGGTTGTGGTGACTGATGTTGCACTGTCTGATCATTCCTGTGTTTTCTTTGAGAGCTCTATTTCTGTTCACAAATTTTTTCAAAAAGAGGTAACCACAAAGCGATATTTAACTGAAAATACTAAGGAAATGTTTACTCAGAATGTTTCTTCCATACTCGCCCCTGCTAACATCTCAGTAAATGAGCTAGTAGATCATTTTAATTCAAAAATTCAAAATGTTATAGATGCCATTGCTCCAACTAAGGTAAAGGAAGTGAATGGCAAGAAAATATCTCCATGGAGAAAGGCCATGACCGTGAAAACAGAAAAAAGAGAGTGTCGAAAAGCTGAACGCAGGTGGCAAAAAACAAATCTCCAGGTTCATTTTGAAATCTATAAAGAGAGACTTGGCTTTTATAATTTGGAATTGAAAATTGCACGACAGTCTTTCTTCTCTGACATCATTGCCAAAGACAACGCACGTGCCTTGTTTGCTACCGTTGACAGACTAACAAACCCCCCAGTGTCAGTAGCCTCTGAATTTCTATCCACCAGGGCCTGCAATACATTTTCCTCCTTCTTCACTGACAAAATTCAGAAAATTAGACAAGCAGTCAGTGCCTTTGTATCAGGTACAGAAAATGTTTTGTCCCTGTGTCCACTTAATATATCAATTCAAACACCATGACACAATTCCATCAGATTAATGATAAAAACCTAGAGGACATTATTCAACTTCTGAAATCCTCCTCCTGCTGCCTTGATATTATTCCAACAGGATTTTTCAAAAGAAATGTCATTGCATGCAAATCTCTTCACTCAGGTGTTTTTCCACAGGCCCTAAAAACGGCACTCATTAAACCGCTCTTAAAAAATAATAATCTAGATGTTTCAGTAATGAACAATTACAGGCCCATATAAAACCTCCCATTTCCAGGTAAAATCATTGAAAAAGTAGTTTTTCAACAGTTGAGTAATTTATTGCATTTAAATAACTGTTTTGATGTGTTCCAGTCAGGCTTCCGTCCAAACCACAGCACTGAGACTGCTCTTGTAAAGGTCTTCAATGACATCCACTTAAACACAGTCAGTGGCAGAACCTCAGTGTTAGTATTATTAGATCTCAGTACTGCGTTTGACACTTTTGACCACAACATATTACTAGACCGACTGGAAAACTGGGTGGGACTATCGGCAACAGTTCTAAATTGGTTTGAATCCTACTTAAAGGACATAAACAACTTTGTTTCTATAGGTAAATGGGTGAAAGACGTGCCACTCATTTTTTTCTGTTCCTAAGGTTTGAATAACTTTCAAAATGTGAACATTTCACAATAAAGTTATAAATTACTTTAAAATATCATTTTCTTTGGGCCCATATCTTGAAATACCTGATTTGGTTAAGTTTTTTTTTCTGAATATGTCCAATAACATGGGGAATCATGT